ACAGGAAGAGAAATCTGTCTAGTAACGCACGTCCCATTTGAAGCGTGTCCTCATAATCTTTGATAACTTTATCTTTAGGTATCTGATATTGAGTGAGAACCTCGTCTACAGTAATCTGATTATCTAACGCCTGACTAATAACTACCAATATCTGTTCTATTCTATCATTCACCTATAAAACATATAAATATCAAGAGATTAACATTGACTATCAATGAGTCTTCAAGGATTTAAGTTTAAGGGATTTTTAGGGATTTTCCCATCCTGTTTTGGGCACCTTTTTGGGTTACTGAGAGAGCAAGTTATGTTATGCAACACTACCAATGAATGATACAGCAAAACAAAGCCACATTGTCTTTTCAACAGGTCTGAAAATTAATATATATTTCTACCATGCTTCATTTAGCAGATAATAAGCCTTGTATCAGGGACTTCAGTAGCAAAAATTCATAATGAAATTGGCCAAATAACACTCTTATACCCAGTCATTTCTTTGGTTTGTTATGTTATTCCTGCTCTGATCCACTGATATACTAGACAGCAAGAAATCCTCTTAATCCTTACCTTATCAGAAGCTGTCATAAACATAGAAGCTACAGTCAGTCTGTTGGTTCTTTCACTTGTTCCTTGTGTAAATTTCTTCCACGCCTCTTCCAGTCTGTAGACTCTCTCATTATTAGGTTCCAACTCGTATCGTAATGAACGACGTAAAACTAACGCCCCTTGTAACAACTGTTTACCATATTCATATGTTCCCTGAAAATATTTCAATTAACAATAAAATAATTAACTTTTAATATATAACAATAAGTTTCGATGATATTTCAGAATTCCTTGTAATACGTCAATAGACATTGACTTCTCTTTGAGATCTATATACTGTGATCCAGAAGTCACCAGACAGTAGACACTAATTAGGTGAGGTCACATCTTCAAGATAGGTGACGATAATATAATATATTAATACAATTAGCTATAAAAACTTACAGCTGCAGTAGATTCGAACTTTCTGTGTTGATCTTGAAGAGATTCTGACTCTGGTTGATTTTTACCCAAATCATTATGTTCCGTTACCATGACAGTACACAATTCTTCTATCCAATCAATGGCCTGAATTTAATTAAATAAATTAAGTTAGACTCTGCAGCGTTTTCCTTACATCAGATGACACCATTGCTTGTTTCCTTTGATATAGATCACATTCAGCTAGCTGTATCCCTTTTTATTTCAATAAATCCACTAGATTTCTTACAATGCAACAAAGTTCACCAGGGAAGTAAGGAATGATGTCTCTTTCAGGCCATCAACATGATAACTGTCATATTTTACCCCCCTCCCCCACCTAATCCCCACTTATCATTTTACATACAGAATAGCCTGTA